TACTACTACTACTACTACTACTACTACTACTACTACTACTTCGACTACTACTAGTACTACGACTACTCCTACTACTACTACTACTACTACTACTACTACTACTACTACTACTCATACTACTACTACTACTACTACTACTACTACTACTACTACTACGACTACTACTACTACTACGACTACTACTACTACTACTACTACTACGACTATTACTACTATTTCTATTACTACTACTACTACTACTACTACTACTAACACTAATACTAATACTAATACTACGACTACTACTATCACTACTACTACAACTACTACTACTAGTACTACCACTACTACTACTACTACTACTACTACTACTACTACCACTACTACTACTACTACTACTACTACTGCTACTACGACTACGACTACTACTACTACTACTACTACTACTACTATTAATACTACTACTACTACTACGACTACTACTTCTACTACTTCTACGACTACTACTACTACTACTACTACTACTACTACGACTAGGACTGTTACTACAACCGCTATTACGACGACTGCAGTTCTTACTTCTACGATTGCGACTACTATTACTCCTCCTGCAACAAATACTACTACCACTACTTTTACTACTACTACTACTACTACTACTACTACTACTACTATTACCACTACTACGGCTACTGCTATTACTTCTACTCCTACCTTTACTACTACTGCGACTACGACTACAACTACTACTACTACTACTACTACTACTACTACGACTCCTGCTACTACGACTACTACTGCTACTACCCCTGCTACTACTACTACTACTACTACTACTACTACTACTACTACTGCTGCTGCTACTACTACTACTATTACTACTACAACTACTACGACTACTACTAGAACTACTGCCACCATTCATTATATTACTACTACTACTACGAATCTTTCTAATTCGATGACTACTACGACCAGTACTGCTGCCATTATTACTGCTATTACTACTACTAGAACAGCTACTACTCCTACAACAGCTACTACTACGACCACTACTACTTTTCCTATTTCTACTACTACTACTACTACTACTACTACTACTACTACTACCACGACTACTACAAGTATTACTACAACGATCTCTACTACGGCTACTACTACTACTACTATTACTACTACTACTGCTACTTCTACTACTACTACTACTACTACTACTACTACTACTACTACTACGACTACTACTACTACTAATACTACTACTACTACTACTACACTACTACTACTACTACGACTACTACTACTACTACTACGACTACTACTTCTACGACCACTGCTACTTCTACTACTACTACTACTACTACTAATAATACTACTACTACTACTACGACTACTACTACTACTACTACTACATATACTACTGTGTGTGTGTGTTACGACTGCCACTTGTACTTGGACCAGTGCTTCTACTACTACTACTACTACTACTACTACTACCACTACTACCACTACTACCACTACTACTACTACTACTACTACTACTACTACTACTACTACTACTACTACGACCAGTACGACCACTACTACTACTACTACTACTACTACTACTACTACTATTACTACTGCTGCTGCTACTAATACTACTACTACTACCACTACTACTACAACTGCTGCTGCTGCTACTACTACTACTACGATTCTTAATGACAGCAATCCTCTTCATCCTCCTCCTCTTCCTTCTCCTTCTTTTCCTCCTCGGCCTCGTCCTCTTACTTATCCCCATCCTCATTCTTCTCCTCATAGCCATATGTACCCGCATCCTCGGTGGGCTCAAATCTCGCAGGGCGCGGTGCCTCGGGGGCTGCGGGCGGCAGCGTCGAAGAGGGGCCTCAGAGAGGCCCGTCTGCGAGCCGTTTTGGGCGACGGCGGGCACGTCGGCCGATCTCTGACGTGACTGGGAATTGGTTGTCGATTTTTCCAGGGGGGATGTTTCCCAGACAAAGCTTGCACTTAGGTTCTCACTTCTGTCTCAAGGAAGTCGGCCGTCCGCGGCCGTTGTGGGCGACGGCGGGCACATCGGTCGATCTCCGACGTGCCGGGGTAGCTGTGGTCGGTTCTTTCTTGGGGGGCGGGGGAGATGTGTTTTATAATGTGGGCGTGGTGTGACGGATGTCAGGCCCCAGGGCCGGGTGCGGGGCGAGAGACGCTGCCCCCGGGGAGTGGGTTCAGCCGCTCTGGGGCCGCGGACAGGCACGAAGCATGCAGTCCAGCGTCTAGTTCTTGGGACGGGGGGGTGCGCTGATTGCGGCCAGGGCCTGGTGCCCTGAAGGCGGGTGCCGTTTTTCCCGCGCTCGCCCCCTTCCCCCCCGAATGCCGCCAGCACTGCGCGCGTTCGTTTCTCTTTCCACGCTCCTCCTCCTCCTCGCTTCTCCAGCCTCCCTCATCCCTCCTCTCACCCTCCTGGCCAGTGAACTCATCCTGGGACTGGGAGGCCGTGAGCACGTGGCCTGATGGTCTTGCGGACCTGTAGTCTGGGTCCCACGGAACTGTTTTGGAGAGCGTTGCATCATCATCATCACCATCATCATCATCATCACCACCATCACCACCATCAGCATCATCAGCATCATCATCATCAGCAGCAGCATCATCATCAGCAGCATTATCATCAGCATCATCATCAGCAGCATCATCATCTCTGGTTCCTCCCTTCCTCCTACTCCGCCCCGCCTCCCCCCCTCCCCCCACCCTTAAGTACAAGAGCGGCCGCGGGACGTTGGCGCTTCGGGACCTGGGCGTGGTTAGCGCATCGCGCGCCGGAGCGTGATGGGCCAGAACCGGCGACGCGATGCGCCAACTAACCGTGTCCCTGCCCTCGTCAGGGGTACCCCGACCTTCGAACATCCAGCGCGAGCGGCTGCCGCTGGGAGCGACGCACGTCGTCGACGGCAGGATGCGGACGTCCTCAGGAGGCCGCGGCGCCGCGGCACGGCGGGCGCAGGAGGGCGCAGGCGACGGTGGTGCTCCTCCTCCTCCTCCTCCTCCTCCTCCTCCTCCTCCTCCTCCTCCTCCTCCTCCTCCTCCTCCTCTCCTCCTCCTCCTCCTCCTCCTCCTCCCCCCTCCTCCTCCTCCTCCCCCCTCCTCCTCCTCCTCCTCCTCCTCCTCCTCCTCCGATGCGGCCTGGGCCGGGGCCAGTCAGGTCGAAGGCGCGACGAGCCGAGCTCGGTGCGAGTCGGGGCGCTCCGTCAGGGATCCGATCCGCTTCCGCTGCGATTCGGCTTCGCGGTTGGATGCGCAACTATTTGGCGTGCCAGCTCTGCATCCCGGGACGTTTTGCCGACGGCCCAAGGGCACAGCCCACATTGTGGACCGAAGGCTGCGAACAGCCTCCGGCGCGATTTTGCGTCGGAATCGCTGTGGACGTCTGTGACGGGAGGAGTTCGGGTGAGGGGGAGGAGGAGGAGGAGGAAGAGGAGGAGGAGGAGGAGGAGGAGGAGGAGGAAGAGGGGGAGGGGGAGAAACAGAAGAGGGGCAGAGGAGGAAGAGGAGCGGAGGAGGAGGAGGAGGAGAAGGAGGAGGAGGAGGAAGAGGAGGAGGACGAGGAGAAGGGATTGAGGGAGGGTGGACGGACGAGAGGAGGAGAGGAGGAGGAGGAGAGGAGGAGGAGGAGGAGGAGGAGGAGGAGGAGGAGGAGGAGAAGGGACGAAGGAGGGTGGACGGGGGAGGCGGAGAGCGGGGTGGGCGAGGGGCGAGAGCTGGAGAGGGGGAGGGAGGGGGGCAGCGAGGAGAAGGAGGAGGGGGAGCACCGATCGTGCGCGCGCGAGAGGCGGCGTCTCGAGTTCGACGAGATGAGCGGGGGCAGTGCTCCTCCCGCCACCGCCGGGCTTTGCCGAGGAGGAGGTCGCCAGGGAGGGCACGCAGACCATGGAGGAGGACGAAACGGTATCGATACCGCTACGATTCCCTTGTTTTCGCCGTTTTTGGGCCTCCTGGGAGGCCGTCGTCGCCACAGCTGAATTCGCTTCGAAATTCCAGTCAGAACGCACCCCGGGAGAGGTCCGGGGAACAGCGGCATCAGCACCTCTTTGTTGGTTTCCCAAGAATGTTTGTCACACCAGCCGCCGCCAGTCGTACTTACCTCCCTCTCACGGGGCTTGAACGAGGATAAGTCCGTCCAAGAGCGTTCCGGAACGGAACGCTTCAGAGCGTTCTGGAACGCTTTGAGGAGGCCGCGGCGCCCGATACATCCTCCAGAGCTGCCGGATCTCAGAGATTCTCAAATTATCCTCACCCGATTTGATCCTCGTCTTGGATTCGTCTCATTCCCCGCTCCCCTCCTCACGGCATCATGATGAGACCCTCCTCTCTTCTTGTTTTCTCTTCGGGGGTGCCGTGTGTGTGTGTGTGGACACATCTAATATATACACATATGCAACTATGTACATATATAAATATGGAGATACCGCTATTTATATGTATATATATATACCTATACACGTGTGTATATATATATATATATATATATATATATATGTATATGCATATCCGCATTATGTTTGTTATCAGTTCTACCAAATAAAAAAACCACCCTTTGGGGTAGCCCAGTTCGCAATCGTCGGGGGACACTTCTTGATACCCTCCCGGTTCGCTTCCCAGAGGCAGCCCGGAGAGGCCAAGGGGACCCCAAGACGAGACAAGAGGGCTCCAGAAAGCGCCCAATAGAGCCCAAGAGGCCTCCAAGACAGCCCAAGAGCGTTCCAAGACGCCCACGATGGCCCCAAGACGGCCCAAGAGGCCCCAAAGAAGCCCCAAGAGCGCCCCCCCTAAGAGGGCCCAAAGAGGCACACATCTGTGACTTTCCGTGTGTGGTTTGTATGTTTCCGACGCTCAAGGCTCAAGTGATCGCGGCTCAAATTATTACGCCGCTCGGATAACTTTGTGGCCGCTTCGCTCCGACTGCGTCCCAATGAAGGCGTTTGCTTCAGGGTTCAGCATCGTGGTAGTTGCCGCCATTTGTGCGTGTGCCAGGGATGCACTCCAAGTCCTCGAAGGAGAAAACGAACACGATGGTCTGTGGAAGACTGTATATGCGGTGGATGTTGGTGATGGCACTTGCTCAATTGCTTATGATAACGATGGTTTCGACCATCTCGTAGGCCACGTGGTGCAACGGAATGATTTTAGCCTCTTGACCTTATCGTTGAACAGTCCAAGTGCCACAGCGTTGTATGAACTGGAGAGAACGAGTGCAAATGCCGAACATCCCCCATATGCAATTCACGTGGTTGCTTCCATAGGATTATGTGTTGCTCCCGTCGCGATCATGTTTGTGCAAGTCGTGTTCATCGTGGCGGTCCTCTCTTCTCATGTCACACATCGTAAAGGTTTGCAGGTCGCGGCAGAAGAGGATTCAGAGGTACCCAGTGCAATCGAAGCTAATGAGTCCAGATCGCTGATACAACGTGCTTCGGCCCCTTTCCGTTCCGTGACAACGTGCAAAGTTACTGCCAAGCTTGCATCATCGGGCGTCGTGGTTTTATACATTGGTCGTTTTTGGATGAAAGCCTTGCTTACCTACTCGATTATCTTCACACACCATGTTCCGATAGAGGTGAGCGGAGGACTTTACGCGGGTGTGGGCAAGGAAACAGGTCTTGTAAGTGGGAATTGTCTCTACGGTTCGTCTGTGGGTTTCTTCCTGGATTGGATGATCGACGTAACAACTCCTTTCGTCAACATGTATGTTGTTAGCCATCTCGACAGCGCCATTGATATAGTGCTCAACAGCTTGGCTATGGAGTTCGTTGCCAATTTGGACAACGATTACAAATCAACGGTTATGCACGGGTTCAGGGCGTATTCCAGATACCTCCTTGATTCCGAAATTGCCGTCGCCTGCACGAATGATCATGCCAGATGCGTCCATCCGGACGCCATGGTGTTTCAAGTGCTCTGTCTTGGTCCTTTGATTGGATTGATCGTTGCTGGCTGTTTGCTGATGGCGAAGAAATGAGGCACAGCTTCTATTCCAGTGATCTCTGGGGCTGGGGCACGTGCGGCAGCGGACGCGTCACTGACCGGTGCGGGGACAAAACAAATATCCCAGCGCATCCGATTTCCATGCGAGATTCTTGGCAACATTCCGTCTCGTGTCTTTACGGGTTCAAAGGGATCCGTCTGCCGACGCGCCGTATTGGCGTATGGCTTCTGTACTGTACAAATGGGTCCCAGAGGCTCGTAAGACCGCCCCAAGACGGCCCAAGAGGCCCCCAGAGGGCCCCAAGACGGTCCAAGAGGGCCCCAAAACGCCCTAAGAGACAGCGCCCCAAGAGGGGCCCACGAGGGGAACACGAACCAACAATTTGAGCCTTCCGCCCCAAGAGGCCCCCTCCTGGAGGCCCCTAGAGGCCCCCAAGGGAGCACAAGAGGTCCCCTAAAAACCCACGAGGCCCCCAAGAGACCCAAAAAGAGGCCCCCAAACGGCCCCTGGGAGGCTTCCAAAATTGTCTCCAAGAGGCCCCCTAGGGGCCCCCCGCGATATCCAAACGAATTTCCAAGAGGCATCTAACCCACAACCTAGGCACGGTGGCGGGATGGGTCGAATGCCACTAGACGGTTCAAGACGCCCAAGACGGCCTCCAGACGGCCCCAAATGCCCCCAAGATACTAAAGAGGTTTCCAAGAGGAGGTCTCTCAACTGAGTCTTGGGGCGTTCTTGGGACCCTCTTGGGGAAATCTTGGACGCTCTTGGGGCCGTCTTGGGGGCATCTTGTGCCCCTGTTGGAGCTCTCTTGGGCCATCTTAGGGCCACCTCGAGCGAGAGGGCAAACATCACAGATTTTCCGTAGGTGTTTGAAGGATGTGGCTTCTCAGGAGGTCTTGAGGAATGTCCAAAACCATTGGGATCCGTCGTGTGGCCCCCTTGGGGCCTCTTGGAGGCATGTTCTTTGCTATCGTGAGCCATGCTGGGCTATCGTAGGCGATCTTGGAGGCCATCTTGGGCTCTCTGAGGCCCTCTTGAAGCCATCTCAGGCTATCTTGGACGCCCTGACCGCTCGCAAAACCTCCCGTCCAGGTCCAGGGGAGGGGATAGGGGGAGGGGTCAAGACGCCCTCCCCGCCCGCAAGCCGTCTCGCTCACTCCCACCGGCCCTCCCAACACATACGTAGCACCCGAGCTTGACCCGAGCCGCAGCATATGCAGCAGTCGTCTTTGGATGGGCAGCTACTGGGGGGCGAATCCGCATCCGCCGCCGCCGCCGCTGTCCGCCGCCGCCGCCGCCGCCGCCGCCGCCACCGCCGCCCGCCGCCGCCGCCCCCGCTGCCAAATCGCCGCCGCCGCCGCCGCCGCCGCCAACGCCGCCAACGCCCCCGCCGCCGCCACCGCCACCGCCGCAGCCGCCGCAGCCGCTGCCCCCGCCGCAGCCGCCGCAGCCGCCGCCGCCGCCGCCGCCAAGTGTACTTTGTATTGTTTTTGACAGGGATGGTAGGGGAAGGCCGCATCGGGTTCGCTGCGCATGTTCCGAATTTGGAGACAGAGTGTGTTTTGCATTGTTTTTACCAGGAATGGTGGGGGCAGAGTGTGGTTTGTATTGTTTGTTACCAGGGATGGTGGGGGGGTGCCCTCATGGACTCGGGTTGGCTCCCAGTCGCCTGGGGGAGGGGGTGTATATCAATAAGGAACAGTGATAAACCCTTCCCCGAAGGGGAAGAAGGGCTTTTCGAAGAGGAAATAATGACATCGTTACTAGTAGACCGCCTGCGCCCAGAGGGCTGGTGGCACTCGGAATACTTCCTGGTTCTGGCCTTTTTCCCTGTCGCGCTGGAGCTACCCCAGATTGCCCTCACTTCGACCCATCCCGGATCACACTAGGAAGCGCCGAACAAGGCCTCACACGGACAAGGTCTATCCCAGATGAGTCGAGTGCCCAAGTGCGGCTTCGGGCGGGGAGCGCCGCGCGATGGCGGCGCGCAGAAGTAGGAGGCACGTGCAGCACCGTGTTTTTGCTGTGGTTGCCCCTCCTCCTCCTCCTCCTCCTCCTCCTCCTCCTCTCCTCCTCCTCCTCCTCCTCCTCCTCCTCCTCCTCCTCCTCCCTCCTCCTCCTCCTCCTCTCCTCTCTCCTCCTCCTCCTCCTCCTCCTCCCTCCTCCTCCTCCCCCCTCCTCCTCCTCCTCCTCCTCCTCCTCCTCCTCTCCTCCTCCTCCTCCTCCTCCTCCTCCTCCTCCTCCTCCTCCTCCTCCTCCTCCTCCCACTTGTCCACTTCGCCGCGACTGCAGCACCTGCCACCACTTGGACCTTTGGCAGTGCTGCTCCTCTCGCCGGACTGCCGCTTGCTTCTTTGAGTTGCAATCACGGGCCTCCGTCGCCTCGCTGGTGCGTCGTTCTCTTGCGCCCCCCACCCCCCAATATCATGGGGGTGGACAGAACACCCACCCTGCCACGTCGATTCGTGAATTGCCCGTTTTCCGTTCTCGAGGGGGCGCCGCGGCCGTCGCTATCCAGGCTCGCGCCCGCCAGGTTGGGGCCCGAGGTCGTTTTCACTAAGCCACGCTCTACTGGTGTCGTTCCATCCCCGAGTGTCGCTCTCCCGCGCCCTCCCCCCCTTGGCATCGCTCGGACGTGTGCGTTTTTTCCTCGGCGAGGACCATCGAGGAGCATCCTTGATCATGTGGCGAAAAACCGCGCACGAAACCGAAAAAAACACAGGAAATGGACGTCCGAGCGATGGCCAGCCCCAGGATCAGAACGATTCTCAGCCTCCGCGGGGACGCCACAGGCGAAGCACCCACCGCGCCCCACTCGACGCGCCCGGCGGCGCGACGAGGAGCACGGAGGGTCTCGACGCCTGGGCGTCTTGACCCCTTGCTGGGTCTTCGGAGGGTCCTGGGGAGCTTCTTGCCGGGTGCCCCCAGAGATGTCCGGGGCACCTCCACAGAGCAGAAAGGTTCATATTTAGAGGTCAGGTTTGTTCTCATCTTCGAGGCGTTGCGGGTTGGGGAGGGTTCGTCTCTGGCAGTCATCTTCGGGTTGGACTGAAGGCGCTGTGGGCGGCGTCCAGAAGAGGCCCTAGCTGGTTTTCGCCGGGGTCTGGCCGAGAGGACATAGCGACGGCAAGATGAAGGAAGGTATGCTTCGCAGCAGGATTTGACTAGCAGGCCGTCCTTGCACAGTCAACGGTGTGTCCTTTTCGTCTCCGTTCATGTCCTCCGCATGTCTGGGGCATGGGTTTCCATCGGGAGAAGCTTCATGCACAAGTTCGGATCAAGCTTCTCGACCTGGAGATCCATCTTTCAGACGCGAAGGGCCTCGCGGCCAGCTTCGCCAGAAGCTGGGACACTGGCGAAAGAGGTCTCCAGGGGTCACGAGTGGGCTGGGTCCCCTGGAAGCCTCAAGTGGGCCCATATCGCCCAAAAGGCCTCAAGCGATCCTCTAGGAGGAGGAAGAGGAGGAGGAGAAGGAGGAGGAGGAGGGAGGACTACGACCTGCGCGGAACAAAAGCTCAGGCCTCCGAGGCCGGGCGGTTTCCTCCCAAAGGAGCCCCACCTCTCGAGAGCCCTGTTCCCGTGGACGGACGTGCTGTTCCGGGGTGCTCTTGGTCCTCCCGGGGCCCACAGTAAGCAACGGTCCCCCGAAGCCGACAGTTGGAAAGCAAGTCCGTCTTGAGCTGAGGAGGAACAGGAGGAGGAGGAGGAGGAGGAGGAGGAGGTGGAGGAGGGCATCGAGTCTCATCGAGAATCAGAGAGCCCCTAAGCCTAATCACGCGGTGAAGACGTGGCCTCGCTGAGGTCCCCGTGTTTTTGCTGTGGGGGTAATCCATCAGGGCGGTTTGGTTCGATGCATCTGCAGAAAAGAGCCTCTATCTCTAATGTGCTCGGCCTTCCTAACTTGGCCCCCCCCCAAAGGGTTAGGGGTCCTTCCTTTCGTTAAGCAGACTCGGCCTGAATCCGGCGCCTAACTTGGCCCCCCCCAAAGGGTTAGGGGTCCTTCCTTTCGTTAAGCAGACTCGGCCTGAGAATCCGGCGTTGCGAGACCATCGCAGCAGCGTAAAAGGTCGCGGAGTCGGAGCCCTGAGCCCCCCATCATTCAGGAGGGGGAAAAACACACAGACACAATGAATCGTCGATTCCCCAGAAAAGATGGGAAAATATGGGAAGTGGGGGGGAAGACAAACACCCAGACAATATGGAAAAATATGGGGAATACATATATATATTAATATATATATTATATATATATATATATATATATATATATATCGGGTAATAGGGGGGCCCCGGGGCGGTGCCTGTCATCTCCATGGGGTGTGCAGGGCGCCCCCGGGAGCGTCCGAAGCGTCCCGGAGGGCCCCTGGGACCGCCAGGAACAGTTCGAGACCGCCCAAGACGGCCCGCGAGCGCTCCAAGACGCGCATAGATAGCCTCAGGAATGGCCAGGAAGGCCCGAAGACGTTCCAAGAGAGCTCCATGAGGCCCCGAAGGCATCCCAAGAGGCCTCCCAAGAGAGCCCCGACAAGCCAAAATCGTGATTTGTATCGTTTTTTTCGAGGTTTTTGGCCTTCTCGCTTTTTCGGGGTTCCGACGCTCCAAGGCCGTCCAAGAGTCTCCCAAAACCGCTCCAAGACGGCCGAAGAGGCCCCGAAGACCGCCCCAAGACGGCCCAAGAGACCCCCAAAATCGTCCCAAGACGGCCCAGGAGAGCCCCAAGATGGCCCAGGAGCCGCCCAAGACAGTTCCAGGAGTGCCCCGACAGGGCTTCAAGACTGCCTAAGCGAGCCCAGCGGTCCCCAAGAGGGCCCCGCGAGGCCCCAAGAGGCCCCAAAGAGGCCCCCAAGAGCCTCCCCGAAGGCCCCCAGAAGCCCCAAGAGGCCCAAACAATGGCCCTCAGCGCGCCCCAAGACGCCTCCAGGAGAGCCCCACAGGCCTCCGAGAGGCCCCCAAGAGGCCCACTGGAGGCCCTCAGAAGGTCGTCCCCGTCATGTTCCCGGAAGGCGGTCCGGGAACATGATTCCGCGCCTTGGAGGAGTATTCTGCGCTTTCCGAGGCGCCTTCCGAGGCGCTTTGGGCGACGTACTACGTTCCTATAGATTGTTCTTCTCCTGTGTACACAATATTACATGTCTTACGTATGGGTATATGTAAATATATGTGTGTGTATATATACACGCACACACATATACATATATATATATATATATACACCCCTCCCCCAAGCCCTCCCGAGTCGTGCCACTTCCTTCCACGTATTTCAAAGTCTTCCCCATATATAGAGGCCCCCAAGATGCCCAACAATGGCCCTGAGCGCGCCCCAAGACGCCTCCAGGAGAGCCCAACAGGCCTCCGAGAGGCCCCCAAAAGGCCCACTGGAGGCCCGCAGAAGGTCGTCCCCATCATGTTCCCGGAAGGCGGTCCGGGAACATGATTCCGCGCCTTGGAGGAGTATTCTGCGCTTTCCGAGGCGCCCTCCGAGGCGCCTCGGACGACGTACCTATGTTTATATAGATTGTCCTTCTCCTGTGTACACATCCTAGATGTCTTACGTATGGGTCTATATATATATATATATATAATGTATATCTACAGGCCTCCGAGAGGCCCCCAAGAGGCCTACTGGAGGCCCTCAGAAGGTCGTCCCCGTCATGTTCCCGGAAGGCGGTCCGGGAACATGATTCCGCGCCTTGGAGGAGTATTCTGCGCTTTCCGAGGCGCCTTCCGAGGCGCCTTGGACGACGTACTATGTTTCTATAGATTGTCCTTCTCCTGTGTACACAATCCTACATGTCTTACGTATGGTCTCTCATATATATATATATATATATATATATATATATATATGTATATATATACACCCCTCCCCCTCCCCCAAGCCCTCCCGAGTCGTGCCACTTCCTTCCACGTATTTCAAATTCTTCCCCATATATAGAGGCCCCCAAGATGCCCAACAATGGCCCTGAGCGCGCCCCAAGACGCCTCCAGGAGAGCCCAACAGGCCTCCGAGAGGCCCCCAAGAGGCCCACTGGAGGCCCTCAGAAGGTCGTCCCCATCATGTTCCCGGAAGGCGGTCCGGGAACATGATTCCGCGCCTTGGAGGAGTATTCTGCGCCTTCCGAGGCGCCTTCCGAGGCGCCTTGGACGAACGTACGATTCATATTCTTGAACGCTTTCCGGGAACATGATTTCTCACCATTTCGGAACGCTTTCCTACTGCTGCGGTGCTCTGGGGGGAAGGGACGGGGGTCCGGGAACATGATCGGGAGGTTAGGGAACGAGGGTTTGGAGAGGAGCAGTAGGACAGACGGACGGGGCCCGGGGGCGGGGGTGGGGTGGTGCCACCGGTTGGCATGGCCGCCCCGGGCGTCCTGTGGGGTCCACGAACCCGCCCAAGACGGCCCATGAGGCCCCAAAGACAGCCCAAGAGACCCACAAGACAGCCTCAGCGAGGCCCAAGAGGGCCCCAAGACGCTCAAGAGCGCCCCAACAGGGCCCGAGATGGCTTGAAGATGGCCGAAGAGGGCCCCAAGAGGGTCTTCAAGAGGCAAACACCGGCCTATTTCCATTCGTAAAGCATACATTTTCAGCATACTCGTTTGCTTGGTCCTCACAGTGCCCCAGACGCCCCCGAGCCCCAAGACAGCCCAAGAGAGACCCAAGAGGGCCCACGACGGCCCAAACGGGTCGTCCTGTGAGGCTCACGGACGCCCCCCCAAGACGGCCCAAGAGGCCCCAAAGCCGGCCCAGGAGGCCCCCAAGACGGCCTCAGGAAGGCCCAAGAGGGCCTCGTTCGAAATCATGTTCCCGGAAGCCTCTCCGGGAACATGATTTCCGGGTTTCTAGGACGCCCAAGAGGGCCCCAGGACGGCCCCAAAAGGGCCCTAAAAGGACCTTCAAAAAGCCCCGGATGGCCACAGTTCGTTGATTTGCGTGAGATGTTGTTGGATTTTTTCCGCGCGGAGGAGACGGAGAGGGCGAAGGAGGAGGAGGAGGAGGAGGAGGAGGAAGAGGAGAAGAAGGAGGAGGCAGGGAGGAGGAGTGGAGGGGAGGAGGGG